TTTTGGCAATGTTCGAGATGGAGGAGTTGCTATTTCAAGAAAAGGCAGGTTAAAACAATGCAGCTCTCATTTTGAATAAAATACCCTCTTAAGCTGTAATCAGCTAAGTAAAGTAATATGTAATTACAAAAAATAATGTGATCTTATAGTCATAAAATCAAACAATTTTAGTACTAAAAAATTGAAAATTTTGTCCATGAAACGATATAAAATAGATGATTATCAAGAAGGGCAGCTGGAATGTGGCCATATTAAGTTCATTAGCAATCAAATGAAAATGTTTTTAGCAATAAAGGAGTGCCCATAGGGAAAAACTCAATGTGCAGGATGCTCAAAGGGTAGGAATCACTTTAATTTTTAAAAAATTAAAAATCAAGGTTTTCTGTAACGATTATACATACATAATTTAGACACTCTGACTGTGGTTGAGATAGTGGATCTTTGCACTCCTTGTGGCTTGGAAACGGGCCTACCACTGCCAACAAGCGATTCACCACCTCTTGCTGCAAGAGCATCATACGGATGTCCGTCATAATTGCCATCGAAGAACCGCTTAAACCATTGGACGAACTCGAAATTATCCTGAAACTTTCCTTTTACGAGTTTTTCGATTGGGACTTCCTAAAGATTTATAAACTAAGCCATTTATTCACTTTATCGACTCCGTGTTTTTTAAATAAGCCTTGCAGAACTTTAAAATTGTTAATATATTCATGTTCTAATTTTGTATTAAATTTAACTTTCTTAAAAACCAGAGTCCCTGAAAGTAATTTTAATTAAAATTAACTACCAGGAAACAGCATATCTGTAAGCTGACAGTACGCAGCTCCTACAAGAAAAATAAAAATTTAAAGGAGTTACCGGTACAAAGCTCTTCTATCTTGCCATAGTTACTCTCCAGACAGTTATTAATCCATTGAAGAATTTCATGACGACTAAGATTATCTGTCATCTGATTTGTACTGTACACATTATTAGCTTGAACTGCCATTTCGGGGAATGAAGGACGTAAACGAGAAAGGGAAGGTTAAGGGAGAGCGCCTAAAGTACAAATGGACTAAAAGGTAATAAAAGTTAAAAAGAAATTTAGGGTTTTAATTTTTTTAAATCTAAATGTATATAGATTAC